GGGGCCGATGCTGGTCCCGGTGGGTCCCTCTCCCCGGCTGCCCGCACCAGCTAAGCCGTGGAGCAGTGGCCCAGCCCCGGACCTGCCACCGACGGCCACGAAGCGGCCAAAACGCGTCTTTCCCATGTTAACGTGGGTTTTTTTTTTGAGTGTGTCCCCCCCACCTCTCCTCAGCCCCCGCCAGGGCTCAAACGCTTCTGCCTTTTTTCGCTCCACAGGTGGACAACGTACCCGTAAAAAGAGATGCCCATACACCAAATATCAAATTAGGGAGTTAGAAAGGGAATTCTTCTTCAGCGTCTACATAAACAAAGAGAAACGCCTCCAGCTCTCCCGAATGCTCAATCTGACCGACCGCCAAGTGAAAATATGGTTTCAGAACAGAAGAATGAAAGAAAAAAAAATTAACAGGGACCGATTACAATATTACTCAGCTAATCCACTACTTTAAAAAAAAATTCAAGACGAGATTAAATTCAGATTTCGCCCTTGACAAGGTCAAGCCACGGGGTTACATGGAGGGAGGAGGTGTGTATCTGATGGGACTAGAAGAATCCAAGGTTTTACATACATGTAAATCTACTCTGGAACTTCAATGGTGATTTTATATATATAGATATATTTACATATCAACTGGAATCGATTTGATTTTGACACACATGGCACCCATTCTGGAACGGGCACGTCACCTCTGAGAGCAAAATCCATACCTCTTACCTTTCCAGGCACTGCGGCTCACCCTGCTACCGCTCTCGGGGTCACAGGCCGGGGGACAACATCCCTCCGTCCCCGGACTCGCCCATTCCCGGACCTCCTTCTCCCCTGGACGGCTGCAGACCAGGGGCTGGAGATTGCCAGGTCGAGCTCACCCACCCAGGACCACTGCAGAATAGAAACTCTGAGAAATAACCTTTTGTTCTTCCTTAGCGGAAAAAAAATATCTAGGTTAGAAGCAGTGCTCCACTGCCCATGGGTTTGAAAGGAGAATTTGAAGGGACACACACACA